CCTGGGTCTCTGCAGGGCATGTGGGGGTAGAGTTTCCATGAGGTTGGAGTGCGCCTGGCCTGAAATGGGAAACCGAGGGTGCTCGGTGCTCACACATAGGCTCAAGGGCTGATTTTGTGACATTTTCCCTTGTGCATTACTCATGTTTAAAAATAAGCATCTCTTTGTAGGGATATGGTTTTCCCAAGTCCCCTGGTCTGACTTAGAATCACGGCGAGAAAGACAGCTCTTTCTGTCCACATGCAGCCGAGTGAGGTCTGGGGGATTCTCTTCTTGCAGGTGTAGTCAAGAATGTAGTGACTGTTTTGCTCTCAACTGAAAACCAAAGGGAACTTAATATTTTTGGATGGATGGAAATGACTAAGTGTCGATCTTTTTACCATGGCAGCTGTTGGGTTGCCTACGTTGTGTCCTTATGACGGAACTTATCTGTTCAGTGCGTCCTTAACCCTTCCAACCAAGTTGTTTGTAAAAAATGGCACAAGTGTTTAACAATCTTGGCCAACATTTTGGCTAATTCGGTTTGCGTTAAAACAAAAAACAGTCGTGGAAATGACGAACATTGACTTGAACTCTTTCTCTTTTGCCCTTCTAGGGCCTGGGTTCCAATAAATAATTGCTACCTCATGTCTAAAGAAATTCCTTTTTCTGTGAAAAAGACGAAAAGCATCTTCAACAGTGCCATGCAAGAGATGGAGGTGTACGTGGAGAACATCCGCAGGAAGTTTGGGGTTTTTAATTACTCCCCGTTCAGGACGCCCTACACGCCTAATAGCCAGTACCAGATGCTGCTCGACCCCACCAACCCCAGTGCGGGCACTGCCAAGGTAGATAAGCAGGAGAAGGTGAAGCTCAACTTTGACATGACGGCGTCCCCCAAGATCCTGATGAGCAAGCCCATGCTGAGTGGGGGCACGGGCCGCAGGATTTCCTTGTCGGACATGCCACGCTCCCCCATGAGCACGAACTCTTCCGTGCACACGGGCTCCGACGTGGAGCAGGACGCGGAGAAGAAGGCCACTTCCAGCCACTTCAGTGCGAGCGAGGAGTCCATGGACTTCCTTGATAAGAGCACAGGTCAGCCCTGGGTAGGAGAAGGGAGGGGTTCAGGCCCTTTGAGTACGCGTGGGTTTCATCTGTGCCACACGTCTGGGGCCTAAGCAGGTGACGCTGTGGTGATCAAAGGGACTGACAGAGGTCACACTTCAGTGGAGCAAAGTTGAAAGGAGTAACCAGGTGGGATTCTTGCCATTATAGACCCACAAGTCAGAACCCTGTTCCCCAAGGCCAGCGAGAGGTCATCTGTGGAGTGGAGAGGATTAGATGACCTGAACTCACAAGTCCTTCAGAGTTCAGTTCGATCGTCACTGACTGATTAACCATAATATCCCGTAACTCTTTTTTGCTTTCCTAAGAATTTTATTTGAATTGATTGTATTTTTCTATAAACCAACATTCACATTAAATGCTCAAATCGTAGAGAAATGTGGAAGGTAAAAAAATCCTCTCTCCTCAGAGTTCCACTCCCTTAAAGGCACCCTATTTAATTGTTGGGTGCACTTTTGAGACATGCTGACGTAGAGTGGTTAAGAGTGTGGGTGTTGGTCTTACATCCCAGCTGCGACACTCATTAGGTTTGTGGCTTTGGGCGAGGAAGTTCTTCTTGCCTTGGTTTCCCGTCTATAACGTGTTGTCATAGGCTTGCCTGGTAGGTTCTCGGAAGGATTCAGTGAGTCAGTTCATGCCAGGGCTTAGAACGCTGCCAGAAACCATCAAGTACTGCAGACATGCTGGCTGCTGTGGGATTTCTCATGCTTATTGCTAATCTTGCCTTTGTGGATCAGAGGCATGATGCAGACGAGGGGTGCTCGCTGACAGAACAGTGGCCACTCGTGGAAGTCCTTCAACCCAGACATCACTTAGTCATGTGTTGAATACTTTGTCATTTCCACGAGGAAATCTTTTGCTCTCATTTTTCTGGAAACATGACCCTCACGGTTTGTTCTTTGTTATTCTACCTTTGGTAAACCAGGATACAGAGGATCTTCTCCTTCAAGCATCCTGATTAACAGGCAGCAAGTCTTCAGGCTCTGGGCTGGAGACAGTGAAGTGGGGCAGGGACTGGAGAGCCTTTGGGTGTCTGCTCCATTTCTAGGCTTTCAGCCCATGACTGCCATGCAGAAGGGTGGACTCTGAGCTTTTAGCTTTTGATATTCTTCCAGAGAAATGGGAAATAGAAATTCAAAACAAAAACAAAAACAAAATTCTACTATTTTATTTCTCATTTTATTTTATTAAAAAAACCTCCTAATTTATTTGTTTTATTCTTTATTTTTATTTAAAATTTATTTTTGCTCAGAGGGTATATGTAGAGAGAAAGAGAGAGAACTTCCCATGGAGGAATAGTCACACCGCAATCCCTTCACTTTCACGTCTTCCTCCTTCCGGGGTTTTAGGTGCCCTGATGCGCCTGGAGTGTTTCTTAAGCTGCCAAGGCCTGCAAGATGTGGACCACATAATCTGGCGGTCCGCATCTGGTCACCTTACTCTCCATTACCAGCTGGCCCAAAGTCGGGATTTGTGGTTAAGAGTGTGGGTGTTGGTCTTACATCCCAGCTGCGACACTCATTAGGTTTGTGGCTTTGGGCGAGGAAGTTCTTCTTGCCTTGGTTTCCCGTCTATAACGTGTTGTCATAGGCTTGCCTGGTAGGTTCTCGGAAGGATTCAGTGAGTCAGTTCATGCCAGGGCTTAGAACGCTGCCAGAAACCATCAAGTACTGCAGACATGCTGGCTGCTGTGGGATTTCTCATGCTTATTGCTAATCTTGCCTTTGTGGATCAGAGGCATGATGCAGACGAGGGGTGCTCGCTGACAGAACAGTGGCCACTCGTGGAAGTCCTTCAACCCAGACATCACTTAGTCATGTGTTGAATACTTTGTCATTTCCACGAGGAAATCTTTTGCTCTCATTTTTCTGGAAACATGACCCTCACGGTTTGTTCTTTGTTATTCTACCTTTGGTAAACCAGGATACAGAGGATCTTCTCCTTCAAGCATCCTGATTAACAGGCAGCAAGTCTTCAGGCTCTGGGCTGGAGACAGTGAAGTGGGGCAGGGACTGGAGAGCCTTTGGGTGTCTGCTCCATTTCTAGGCTTTCAGCCCATGACTGCCATGCAGAAGGGTGGACTCTGAGCTTTTAGCTTTTGATATTCTTCCAGAGAAATGGGAAATAGAAATTCAAAACAAAAACAAAAACAAAATTCTACTATTTTATTTCTCATTTTATTTTATTAAAAAAACCTCCTAATTTATTTGTTTTATTCTTTATTTTTATTTAAAATTTATTTTTGCTCAGAGGGTATATGTAGAGAGAAAGAGAGAGAACTTCCCATGGAGGAATAGTCACACCGCAATCCCTTCACTTTCACGTCTTCCTCCTTCCGGGGTTTTAGGTGCCCTGATGCGCCTGGAGTGTTTCTTAAGCTGCCAAGGCCTGCAAGATGTGGACCACATAATCTGGCGGTCCGCATCTGGTCACCTTACTCTCCATTACCAGCTGGCCCAAAGTCGGGATTTAAAAAAAAAAAAAAAATTCTATAGAGTGTGTGTGTTTGCTGGAGAGAGAGACAGAGAGGGAGAGTGAGAAAGCACCCTCTGGGGGACCGACCATGCCACAATCCTTTTTTCATTCTCTGGAGATTTCGGCATACGCACACACATGTCCTGTTTTTTCTAGTTGCCTGGTCTGTGGCCATGTGGGATCTAGCCACCATAGCCATCATGCCACCGGCTCTCCTCAAATCTGGAGTTTTCAGTAAAATCTTTAATTATTAAATGTCAAGTCAAAGCATCTTAGAATGTTTTCTAGGATGAGTGAAGTATATCTATGGGATAGGCCCCCCGTGTAAGACTCGAGGTAGCCTTTCAGACTCTCTCTCTCTTTCACTCACTTCTTTACTTAAAACTTTTTTTAATTTATTTATTATTATTATTTAATTTGACCAGAGAGAGAGAAATGGAAAGTGAGAAAGCAAGTTGCCAGATCTGGGACTCAAACTGTGGTCGGCTATGTGGGAGTCAGTGCCCCAACTGCCGTGCACCAGCTGACCCCTCTCCCTTCTTTTGTTTACTCTCTTTTCCTCCTACATAGAAGATCTCTTGAAGGAAAAGCATCAGTTCTACAGACCATGAATGTCCGTTGAAGATATAAAGATGGGAACTTAGTTGTAAACTCAAAGAATTGCCCCCATTTTGGTTGTGTGGCTTCTTGGGTTCTTTTCACGTCCTGATTCGTGTTTCTCCCCAGGTCTGTAAGAGGGGTAAAGAGAGTTAGTGACCTGTACCTTTCAATTCTTCATGAAAAAAGGCTACTTCTCCCTAGTTCTGGTTCTTAACCATTGGGTATAGAACTTGTTCTAGGATCGATGTAACTTGCGTTGACCTCATTTCATAAAAATCTTCCCTTTTTTCCCGTATTTCTGACCAAGGTCCTGAAAAGCTTACTTCTCATCCCAAGTCAAGCTTACTTTGTTCATTTTTTTGAGAGATTTTTGGTATAGGGTGTGAGCACTCATCATAGAGACAAAAGATAGAGATACAGAAAGCAAGAAATCACCCCACAGGTGGGATGGCCACGCTGCAATCCCTTCCTCTCCACTCTCCTCTCAGGATTTGGGGCATGCATGCACATATAACCCATTTGAATTTCAAGCCACTGGGTCTGGGACTTGAACTGCGGTTGAAACAGGTGTGATTCCAGCATCTTAACCGCTACGCCAGCTGCTGGGCTGAACTTAATTCTTAATCACACTGACCTGTGAACTTGTTCATTCTCCTATAGAGGATGGCATCAGGGAAAGCATTTTCAGTTTTCTCCTTGGAAACCACTTAATCATTGTTGCCTAAACCTTCATTACTGTGTTTATTTTTTGCCATATTCTATTGCCTTTTTAAATATTTAGTCTGCAGCCACTTTGTCTTAAGCTAAACAGAATGATAACCTCACGTGTTTAAATTGCTTGTTGTTGTATTTTTTCTTTATCTATTGAGTCTTTGGAAAAGTCATGACGTTATTTTCTATGCAAAAATGTATCATGACTTTGCTGATGACTGAATACATAAAATGAGTACATTATTCATAATACGTGTCAGTGTGTGACACGCATTCTTGCCAACCTGCACCCCACCCCAACTTCTCCCACCTCACATGGCAGAAAGTATAGTTCTGTGGGACTGTGAGTGTATATGATGTTTTTAATTTAGCTTCTCCCCTTGGGAAGTACAAGATGAAAGGGACAAAATAGCATCTACTTCCTGACAAAATTCCTCATCATTTGTGTGGGTCTTTGGAGAAATGAGTGGATTGCCACAGTTGAGCAGACTCAGAAATCCCGTTCCTAAAATATCATCCCCTGCCGGTGTGTGCGTGGGTCATTGGACTCCTCATCAGTTAGCACATGCATTGTGTAGGAAAAGAAGGTGGCACTCTTTTTTTCTTTTTTTTTTTTTAAATAAAGTATTTATTTAATTTCATTTGTTATGATCATTAATTTGACCAGAAAGAGGGAAGGAGAGAGAGACAGAAAGGGAAAGTGAGAAAGCAGGTTGCCAAGTCCGGGACTTGAACCACCGTTGTCCATGTGGGAATCCAGCGCCTTTAACCATTATGCCACCTGGTGGCCCGAAAACTCCTCCTTTTGCAATTATGCAACTGTTAAGCGCTGTCCTGGCCATACCAATGCAGCCAGCAGCAGGACATGGCTGCATTCCAATAAAACTTTGTTGATGGACCTTGATAGTTTGAATTTGATCTGAGTTTCATGTTTAATGGACTCATTGATTATTTTGATTCCCCCAACATTTAAAAATTCAAAACACTGCTCTTAGCTTGCAGGTTCTACAGGATCAGGCGATGCCAGATGTGGCTGTTGGCAGTAGTTTACTGACCACTATTAACAAATGGAAGCTGCAGTAGAGTCTGATTCAGAGGCCCATGGAAGGCCCTGTGGACAGGGTACGGGAGGTGCTTAACATCACCAACAGCCAGATCCAGCCTTTATTTTCTGGTCACTGTAC